CAAATACGATGGGCTTTGGGAAGTGAACATGTTTATAAAATGGGTTTACCATCTTTTCCCTGGGAGGGTGTGCGCAAATACGATGGGCTTTGGGAGGTGAAAATGTTTATAGAATGGGTTTACCATCTTTTTCCTGGGAGGGTGTTCACAAATACGATGGGCATGGTGAAGTTTTAAAAAATGAGGCGATCCAACCTCTGCGTTTTGGGTCACTTTTTTTGCGCTGTGGTTGGCTCCCTTACAATAGTGGCTCTACAACCAAGGTTTCTATTACATACCTGGGTTTGCATGGGCCTATCACACCATATTGAGCCATTTATGGTATAGCCGTATAGTGGCTATAGGCTCCCTGTAGGTAAATCCTGCGCAGGACTAGTTTCTGTGAATTCTGTTTGAAGAAGAATCACACTCAAAACATCTCAAAAGAATGAAAGTCAACTTTATTTTTAACAACATAGAAGCAACTGTGCAATTTAAGACAAGTGATAGCAACCGAATGCAATCATCTCAACAAACTTGCAAGCAAACACATGTGAAACACAACAATGCCAAAAGGAAAAGCACTGCACACATAAATATGTTCATTGATGTTCATTGAGCATTTTGACATGATTTTGTGCGCTGATCAAAACCTGAGCATTCACCATGTGCCACATTCAAGTTGTGCATGTTATAAACCCACCTGTTTCTCCGGAGTGAATTCCACCCGAGAATCACTCAAGTAATCGAAAGATCCAGCAGAGGTCCTGGCAGAGGTCGCAAATTTACATAGTTAGAATCACAGACTTGTCCGCGCAGAGGACTTTTGAGTCTGTCCAAAGAGATCCAAAGAATGAATCAGATGTTGGTTGAGCATTCCATAAACATGGGCAATTTTCGGATCAAAATGATCACTGGCACATGGAAAGCAATTCCATAAAGAGACAAAAGGCGCCTCTGAATGTTTACTCTTTTTGCTCTCCGAACATGTCTCACCATTATATAAAAAGGTCGGGTCGGGTTATGTCGGGTTCTGATTGTATAAAGCAGCAGCCTGAGAGATTCCATTTTATAAATGATTTTTCCTTATAAAATGAAATCCCTCACCCCAGAGACCTCCACAAGGGGGATGCTTTCATGAGGTTATTTTCGTGACTGGTGAGGCTAGCTGTTAATGCACTGGGATGTTCTCAACGATGTTGGCTGAGAGTGCATCCTGCGATCCCCCTTTTGCCCCAGAGAGTGCTCCGCACTGGGGTGAGGAAGGATCCCTTTTTGATCTTTTTGTCGTTGGCAGGACATTTGGATCCCTCTTGTTCTCTCATCGGCTTGCTTACTTGTTGCATTCGAGCAAAATCGGCTGGTTGCGAGCTAGCCTCACCCCAAGTTGACTGGGCGTGGCGCTTTTCACTCCTTCAGCTGTACAAATCGCAGGCTTGTAGGAAGTGCTCTGCAACTTCACAGCTTGAGGTGGCTATGAACTCAGACATCCAGCATGTGGGGTCGGGGCCTTCACCCTCCCAAAACCCTCAGAAAAGCACATCCTCAGAAAACAGCAGACGCGGACCTGGTTTCTTTTTGTTTTCGCAAAGCTTCCACTTCCTGCGAGTTGTACAGTTGGTCATTTGGTCGCCGCCTGGCTCCGTTAAAAACACACACGACACCCACACGACACACGACACGGCAGGCGGGGGATACAAGAGAGAATCAGGCAACCAGGCTGAAGTATAGCATGTGAGACAATGGATAGCCAACACACTTCGAAGGTTTTGCGGTAGCTGAGGACGTGAACTCTTTGCCCCATAGATTTGCCATCTCCATTTCTTCCATCGGATGGGCAGCTTGTCCAGGAAAACGTAAAAACACATCCGGTGTTACTAGTATCTTGTTACTAGTAGCGATGGCCTCCAACCTAATAGCTTCTTGTTCCACCTTTGCCTTTTTCAGACGTCCTGAAACACACGGGAGCTGGTCGGCGGACCCGCTTAAAATATGCTCCACCAATGGTGGAGATCGACACATAGGGCACGATTCCGACGGTGATGCTCACCCAGCGAGCTGACAGCTTCGCATGATGTGGCACGTTTTACACAGACATGGCTGTGGGTCAAGACCAGCATACCTAGGTTGACCTATCTGGAAGGTCAAGCTACATGGTGAGGAGGGCTGCAGGTTTTGACCCATCCCCACATGGCACATATGGCAGTTGTTCCATTGGCAGTTTGACAGTTGTTCAAGACATGCAGCAGCAGACCGATGATAGTACAAATGGCACACGAAGGCATAAACCAAGAGATGTCTCTATTTGACGGCGGCAGTCGGCTGTGGCTCATGTGGGCCTGCAGGCAATGCTTGCAAAGAAGTCCCTGTCCAATGGGCCATCATTTTCATGTTGGAAGCACTAAGCACCGATTCAATTTTAAAGTCTTGCCATATTGTTGACAGTCAAATCCAGCAAATCAGCACATCAATTGCATCTTTCCGGCCCCTTTGCAACTTCAGAACCCCTTTGAGCAGGGGCCAAGATCGCGTGTCCTGGCGAAGCTACGCGAGCCAAAAAGCAAGGCGCGCGCTGCCAGCTGTGATCGCGGTCCGTTGGGACCCTTTGCACCGGGACGCCCTGTGCCTGCCCTGCTCAGCCGTGCCAAAAATGGCGAAACCACGACTCACAGATTCTTCTTTGGCTCAGACTTTGGCTCAGATTCTGGTGAAGAAGCAGAATTCGACACAAAAATGAAGAAGCAGAGCTTGCCACAGGAGCTTGCTTCATCGGTTTGGCGGGGCGATAGAAAGTAAGGGATGACGAGAGTCAGATGTTTTGATATGTAGACTGATGAATGAAACCCCTTCGGAGATGCAAGACCAGGCTCTGATATAGGCTCTAGAATAAGCAATTTGGAATAAAATTCGGAATGGATCCACAAGTTTTTGTAAGTCTACCTTCGGCAAACCGAAGAGGCCAGAGATTCTTGAGATTCTTGACTTGGTGAGCAGGGCAGGCCTGTGAGGCATGGCCTCCATGGCTTAGCGGCGAGCCATGGCCTTGGAGACCATTTGGAAGCATGCCTGTGAGGCCTTGGAGATATTCTCTCAGGGAGATTCTTCGAAAGTGGGGCGAATGTTCCAGTCGTAAAAGTTTTCTCGCAATTTGCTGGTACTTTGGTCAGTGTTTGTTCTTGTTGCTTGAGGCGTATGGTCTGGTGTTATCGGTGGGTTCTCCATCTTTATCCGCATGGGACTTGCCTCACCACACTGACAACGCACAGCACAGCATCCAGAGAGCTCAGTCCCTCAGTCCATCACTGTCTACGACGCTTTTGGGGGACCTCCCAGGACCGCTCGGACCACTCGGACCACTCGACGTCCCCGGTCCTTCCGAGTTTGCCGAACACGGCGGAGCTCGGACCACGCCCGCCGTCCTGCCGGCAAGGCCCCAGATGCGCGCGGCCTTCTTTGGTACGATCCGTTGGATTCGAAGCCTTTGCAGGTCTCCTGGTTCTGAAAGATTGGTTGGGGTGGGGTGCGCGGAGGTGGGTGCGTGGGCTTGGTGGGCTTTGACACCAAAGGAGTGAACGCTGCTGCGCCCTGCTGCGCCCCCCCCGCGCCCCTTGACACAATCACACACACACTGAGCGAGGTCCCGCATGGTAGTTTCCAAATCCATTTGTGCGCAAGAAGCAGCCACTTGGCAGGAAAGGCCATAGGACACAAGGATGGCAGCCAGTAGCACTCAGCCATCCTTTTGTCTTTCCTGGAGGGGAAACATGGTAGACAATGGACTATGCTTCTCCTGCTGGGCTAGCGACGCCATGCCGCTGCTGCTGCTGCTGCTGCTGCTATAAAATGGCGATTGTAAGATCTATATGGGACCCTAGGTCCGAGGTCCAGCAATGCTGTTGCTCAGCCAGCAAGAAGTTGGTTGCCACAGTGCCCGGCTGCCCGGCTGCCACTTCAACCTGCCAGCGCCAGCTTACAGAGCCTCTGACGCCTTGAGAACTGGTGCCCAAGGTCAGATGACACATAAATAAGCAGCGACTCTGACAGATGCCAACTTCCTGCCCTTGGTGAACGTGCACGTCGACGATGGGCTGAGCGCAAGCAGACTTTGAAGCCTACAAATTCTGGGTCTTCAGGCCTTCGCCTGCAATCCTCAGCCGCCCTGGATGTGTGCAACTGAGACCCTGTGATTCCATACATTTTTCAGTGCTGTGACGGAGTGGAGGTAGAAGCGATTTGCCAGATTGTGCCTTGTTCTTTGCCATGACCTACCAGACCATACCTATGATTTAGACACCAGTCACCGTGGACCCTTTCAATCCATTCACAGATACACCTTCAAGCCAGGTTTCAAGTCAGCCTTCATGTGATGCCAATTGTGATGCGCACCGGCTCGCACACCCCTCCTTGTCCCAGCACTGGGCTGTTGAACCAGGATAGAGTACACCGATAGCGTGCACTTCAATAGAAAACCCCCCCTGGCCCAATCGGGGAGGTCGCATGCGAGGTCGAGCTACACACCCATCGGTGAAAAGCAGGAGAACTCCTCTTCACCGCGAAAAAGAAAACACCCCTTTTCGGTCGTTTTGAGTTGTCCACGGTCCATTCCGAGTATTTGTGAACATTCTGACATGGACTGCTACCAGTAGCTGATGGACTGCTACCAGTCGCCGATCTTGCTCAATTTTTATTCTGTTCCATTTTCAATTGGTCGCCAAAGGTGTGAAAAGAATCATGCTCAATCCAACGTTTTGAAGCTACATTCGAAGCTGCTCAACAGGGGGAGCTGGAGCACGGATCGACCGTCAAATGCAGGATCGCGACGGCAGCAACTCGCGCCAAGCAAGGGGAAACCAAGAAAAAGTGAAGGCAAGTCCACGGCAAGTCGCCCACTTTCTCAACCACCTCTGGAGTCCCTTGGCTACCATCCCTGCGAGGGTTTTGACCCCAGCCCCAGTTTTGAGGCCAGGTTGACCTCCCAGGTAGTTTGTTCATTCTCGGTGGTCCACGGGTGTCCAGCCACGGTCAAGGACTGGAGCTATCGACACGTTTGGACGACGGCCAGCCGCGCGGCGTGCCGCCTGTCCGCGGACGGGGCTTCTGCACGGAATGTGGGAATGTTGCTGGGAGGCGTGGCCGGGGTGTGGGGGGGGGGAAGACAAGGAACATGCTTCGTTGGAGCGGGAGAAGCCGTTTGAAGCCGTTTTTGAGATGTTTTGGAGGATGTGAAGGGGAAGCCCGGAAGTAGAACGGTCAAAGGCTGTTCACGTAAGAATGCAGATGCGTCCCAGTTTCATGTCTTCGGTGACATCGTCGTTCTTTTCGCTCGTCACGACTGCTTCTGCTGCCTGATTCAGTCGATGCTGCCTGGTTCGGCATCGAATTAATCTGTTCGAACAGGAATTCTCTAAACGAGAAATTATCCTGATTGTCCTAAGTCCATACGCCGCCGATTCCTTTTTTGCAGAGACCAGGTGGCCCTGCACTTCCGACTTTGGAGCTGGCTGTTCTGCTGGCGAACTTGGTGTTGGTGCCCTTGGGCGAGAATGAGCCGTTGCCCCGGCTGAGATTCATGTTGGAGGCACCACAAGGGTGCGAACCTGTGCTGTTTGAGTTACCATTCTTAGCAAAACCCTTCCATTTCGTTGGCTTCGCACGTCTGGTTTTCATTCGAATCGAACAGGAACTAAGACCAGGGGGCCCAAAACTGCCTCGACTGGCGCCCCGACCGCCACGCACACGGCAGAGGATGCAGGGCCCTTCGTAGCCCTCGTCGCGGCCGTGGCCCAAGCCGCTTTGGCGCAAGAGCTGTGCGCCGTCGCAGGACTGTAGCGTCGACACCCCGGTCGTCGGGTCAGTCACGTGGTAGGTGGTGAAAATGAGGAGGAAGATTGTAGAGAGCTGATCCCGGTCTCGTGCTGGTCACCGGTCACTCATCCAAGCCTTGTTGGACGTGCAGGGTGCAGACTGATGCTTGATTCGGAGTTGTTCTCTCAGCAGGACTGATGGTGGGGCTCTTGTCTTGTTCATGTGCGGCTTGTGGCTGTTCGAGAGTGAGATAGAGTGAGAGTTTCAGGTTCGGAGTGCCTCTTTAACGACCGATTTCGGGACACAGAACTGAGCTGGGGCGCGAACACGAGGATTCAACAGCTTTGCAGAGGCTGCGCCCCTAAGAGTTAGTAATTAACACGAGGTGATGATCATGAATTGGTTCATTTTGTGTCGTGGACCTTCTAGCCCAGCGTTTTGGAGACTTAAGACCATCACACCCGGCCTCGACGACGTTCCGCATCCGATCCAGGAGCCGAGCGCAGGTGCGCTGGCTCTGCCTGCTCTGCCTGCTCTGCCTTCTGCGGAGGAAACGGTCTCGCACATCTTCTTTACCTCCGGGAGCACGGGCCGACCCAAGGGCTGCATTTGCACCTTGCAAAACCTGCAGGCGTACTGCGCAGCGAAGAACGTGGTCCATGAGGCCGAGTGGAACGTGGTCCATCAGACGATCAGATAATGTATGCGGACTCTATGCTACTAAGTTCCTCTGAGTCTGAGCTGTGATCGAATTAACTCATCCAGAGGGAGTGTTTGCTAGAAGATGCGAAGACTGCATCTAATGAGGTCCTTAGAGAATCCAGGGGCCATTTCATCCAAGCATTGGGGGTCAGGGAGGCCACCCAGTCCTTCGGGACCCCTTTTCATGACTCGCACGACCAGATCTGTGCAGGTGACGAAGGAGAGTGTGGTCTTCGTGGCGAGTGCTCATACCTTTGACCCGTGGCTGGGCTGGAATCAAGAAGATGGGGTGCCGATAGGGAACAAAAAGAAGGACACATTAACAACAACAACAACAACAACAACAACAACAACAACAACAACAACAA